TAATATTAACCTGTGGTCTCTACTTACAAGCTAAAGAGCTTGAAAAAATATCCTTATTATGGATTTTTTTTTTTTAAATGTGGGAACATAAAATTACCCTACATATGAATGCAGCTTGCATTTTAAATTCTCAGCCTTTGAATTCATTAAAAGAAAGTCCACTTCCTCTATTGATGTAAGGTGCCTAGTGAACCTTCACTGCCTTCACATCAAGGGACAATTTGGCAGCAAATTTCCGATGCAGTAGCCTGCAGAAATGGGGCAATCGTTAAAATGACATTCATATAATCGTGCATGTGTTATGCAGTATAATCAAATATAAACTATATGTGACTGACACTATAATAAATTCCAAGGATATAAGTTGCCCATTTTATTAGAAAGGCGTAACAACGGACTACTGGGATGCAACTCTTATATAGGCTCTACATTTACAAAAAAGACCAAAAAACCCAAACAAGATAATTCCCTTTTTGAATTACATTTTTAATAAAAAATCAGAGAGGAGGGGAGTTGGTGCTTATGAGTTGGTTGGGGTTTTTTTTAGTGTAAACTTCTTTATTAGAACAGTGGGCTTTTTTCTTTCCTTTCTTAAGAAAAAAAAATATTACTTCTTTTCCTGGAAATTTTCATGAATGAATACTAAAATTAATTTTGAGTCACATCTCAGGCAACAATGAAACCCGAATCATTCACAGGGAAAGGGCTTTTCATTCAAACTGTTTGAAAAACATGGACTTTTTGTTTATAAGTCAAAGGCCTAACAAGCAGTAAAAAGAAAAGCTGTTTATCAAATATCTATCATACAAAGCATATATTTTCAATAAACCAGAACTTCTGTAACTTGTGACAAGCTAGTGCCTTATTGAACTTCTATTAGAAATTAGAGTAATAATAGCATACATTTGATTTTTTTCCTCTTTCTTTTTCCTTTCTCTGAAATTCAACTACCACAGCATTCAGTTTCATCTCTCTCTTTTTGGCCATACTGGGCAGGTACAAACAACAACTTATAATGTTTCAGGACAACCAACACTTCAAAGTGTTATAATTGTTTGTTTCTATTCTAAAATGTGCAAAGCTACAACAATAACTTTACTTATTATTCAGTGATAACAGAATTAATATTCCTGAGCAATGTATAGCCATGAGCTAATTCTAATTTTACTTTTAAATGTCTAGTGGCTCTTTCTCTCTAGGAATAGTATCAGTCAGGCTGTTAGCTTATGATACTCAAGTTCCTTCTGAGGAGGCTATCTTTGAGGCCATCGACGATTTGTGCTGAAGCTATCTGAAAAAGTCTACAAAGAGTTCCCTCTTTCCCCAGAGCTGCCCTTGTCATTTCAAATAGAGCGATACTACTAGTACTACTTTTAAAAATCTTACTTGAAGGAAATGCACAGGATTGCAAACTAGTATCAACCATCAAAAATAACATAGTTTTCAACCGGAGAGGAAAGTGAAGAGAGATGAACACGTGAGACTGCTAACCATGTCGCTTAATCCATTTCTGAAAAGCATGCAGATGCTAGATCGATTAGAGTCATAGAAGAACCCGAATAGAACAGTTTATGCTAAGTTTTCACATTTAGAACAACTCTCATGTATTTCCTAAATGTTAAAAAAATGTGTAACAGCTGTTAAAACCTATAACCACAGACTCATTAAAAGGCTCAGCAGCACAGAATTTGCCACAAAACATGGGCCTACAGCTTGCAGCCCCTGGACGAGGAAAGCACACAGAAGCGTCCAAGGGTTTTACCAGAACCAGGTAACAGTCACAGAATGGTCAGGTTAGAAGGGACCGCTGGAGGCCACCTTGTTCAAGCCCTCTGCTCAAGCAGGGTCACCTAGTGCAGACTGCCCAGGACTGTGTTCCAGCTAGGTTTCAGAAGAGACTATCGTGAGTGATCTTTTGTCCTCCCTCAGTCTCATTTACGTTTCTACCTACGTCTGTCACCTATTTTGACATAATACTCCTGAAGCTCCAGGAGCATGGAATGGTACAGGAGGAGATAGCTGGCTTCCTTCATCTCTTATTTGCAAGATGCTTCTTTGCAGGGGAGAGGAAGTCCAGAGCAGCAGCTATAACACTTTTTTTCTTTCCCTTTTCTGTTCCATGACTGTCAGCTCCGAGATACCAGCTGGTGACTGCTCTGTAGCTCCCTAGTTGCCTTTTTTGCCTGCTGCTTTGTGTTCAGACAAGCAGATAGGTAACAACCTAATGGTGGTTTGGGTTTGTTTTTTTTTTTTAATTCTATTACTGATAATTAGTAGATAGCAAAATATTGCCCTTCTGCACAAAAAGCCCTTTGACACTTAAAAATAAAGATGACAACTGTAAATCATTTACATGACACTTCTGTTCTACAAACAGATGACAAATTCATGTTACTGTTTTTTGTCATTTGCAGTAAGGTGGCTTGTAGATGCATTGTTGTATCATGCCCAATATAAAAACAGAATAAAGAGACAGTCCCTCATCTCCCAGAATCTTGTAACCTAGAAGACTGCAAACAATAAGCAAAGAGAGCAGAAGTTGGACTACAAGGAAATAAGACAACACAAGTCAATGGGCCAACATAATAGCCGTAGTTAACCAGCTGCTTAGCTACTGACAGACATTAGAACCAGATTTCAAAATTAAGTCTTCCATTAATAGTGCAACTATAGCTAACTGATAGAAAATATACTCGATGCTTTAGCTTTCTGAAACTTGAAACGTAGGTTTATCCCATACCTGGTATAGACCAGCTCCTCACAAACAACAATCACTTTGATTCAGAGAGCAGGACTATCAAAATTTCTCTCCTGAATTAAAAAACACCAGGCAGCCATCTCCAAAATAGCTACATTAACTTGTGTTTTCTTGCTAGAAAACGTATATCCTCTTCAACCTTTTGCAAAACTTACTCAGAAGCTAGAAATAAATGCACCTTGAATCTACCTAGCATTTTAGAATATAGATACCTTCTTGAATGCTGGGCTTCTGTGGCATTTTGAGAACATCTTCAGGATGTGGTTTACAGAGTCCATGGAAAGGCCCTAAGTCAAAACACTCTTGGAACAAAGAAACATTTACTTGAGAACATAAGCTCATGAATCCCACTGCAGTGTCACCATCCTGAAATATAAAAGCAACGTCACACATATGTAAAATTTGAGCATGTGATTTTAGGTCATGACAAAAAATTGAACAAAAAAATCTCTGAAACATAAAAGTTGGTGTTGCATCTCTGGCTGTGCATAATAGGAAAGTATAAAGGAACTATTTCAGCAAAAGTTAAAGATCCTTTTTTTTTTTTTTCCTTGTAATATGTGTATCAGGCCCTCTATATTACATGTTAAAATTCTTTTGTTAGCTACGACTTGCAGGAGCATTAGGATTATTCATATGAACCAAATAATGACTTATTGTCTCAATAACACATTTGTTACAGTAAATAAAAAACTAAACTTTTTAACTACATACCTCCAAAAAGGTATAATTTTTCTTTAAAGTATAGCTAGAGTAAAATCTGGATTTAGCTAGCCATAATGGCTGGCTAATTACTAGACACTGCTTTGTAAGTAAAATTGTGCTCAAACTGAAAAGTATATTTCCCTATGAAAATTATTAACTCAAGAAAGAAATTCTACAGTATATAAACAGTATCTAATACAGTATATGGTATGGATTATTTGCAGCAATTATAAGTGCTAAATATTTTCAAGTTCTGAAAAAAAAAAATTGAAGAACTAGTCTTTAAAAAAAAAAACAAACCCCACCCTGGCAAGTATGAAAATGACAAGAGCCCTGCAATGCTGAAATGGCACATTGCTCTGTATGTTTGACTATTACTGACAGAAAGTTGCAGTCTTCAGAAAGAAATACACTCTGAAAAACGAGAATTGGCATGCTGGAGGTTTTTTGGCTTTAAGCTAAGACGAATCTAGAAGAAGGAAGCTCTTCAATTTTTAGTACTATATGCAACTTTCTGGTGAAACACATAATAAATTTGTTTTTTTCCTTCATACACATAACGAAAGCCTCCTTTATAAACATAATGAAAACACAACGGCTAGATTTGTAGAGCTGTTTTATCAGGCCATCAGCACTCCAATAAAAATAAATAAAAAAAAGTTTAATTTTTTTCCCCTCAAACAACAAGTGATTGTTTGTTTGCCTTGTTTGCGTAACTGAACAAAAGCTGGGTCGCTGCAGTTGTCTGGCTGCTATGTAATTTTAGGCCCAAGGCTCAGCAGAGGCTGATTAACCAATCCATCTACCATATGTGCAAAAAGAGGCTGCCAGCTTCATTCTCTGCAGGGAAAATTGGCATCTATCTTGGTTCGCATGGAGGTGTCTTTCCAATCTGCAGCAGCAGCGGCAAGTATAAACTATGAGGGTCTGAAACACCTTTTGCTGGTATCATATTGAGCTATAAATGTACAATTGAAATGTATTATTTATAAAGATAGCTGTTTGTAATGTGCTATTACGCTAATGTTTTATTGTTTCCCATTTGGCTTCCAATGGTAGTGACTACATGTTAAGGTTTTACAAAAATTATTTGCTACAGAAAGCAGACTTCTGGTATTAAGTAGGTTATGTTGCCTATCGGCTTACAATACCACGTGCAATTACTAACACATGAAAATATTAACAGGAATTTCCAGCAGGATAACTATTACCACCTCTTTCTTATTTAAATTAATTCCTGGGTTTGTCTTCAATTCAGCAAAAATCTGACTGCCTGAGCCAGGAGACGGAAAGAACACTACAGCAGTTTTAACTGTGAAAGTATTACTGGATACTAGTTTTCACATGCAATACCAATTTTCACCACGAATGAAAACTGGTCATCTATAATGCAAATGTCTAAAAATGGCAACATGGTTTCTTCAAGATATCTGTTCCAATTACTTGAAAAGAATCTACACGATTACTGGGAATTGCTGCTTCATTTACTTAAGAGGCAATACCGCTCCTAAAGAAAGGAAAGACACAAAATACATGGCAGAGGGCACTGCGTGGGTGCAGATCATGAATTCTACCTTCCAAAAGTGAGCTTGTTCTTTTTATTCGCTGAGATGCAGTGTGAGCTGTCACTCACGTGTGACATCACTACTGTTACGATTAGACAAAATCAGAGTTCACAGCAGACTGACCTCGCAAACAACAGCCTGATTTTCTTCGTCTTGACATTCTATGAGATCAGCAAGGAAATATTCACTATAGGTTTCTTTCAGAGTCTCACTCTGACGTGTCCAGATTGGCAAGAGATCATCATAATCTTCCAACCTATAAAAAAAGATATTAGGTAATGTCCTGAAGCTCTGCCATTAATAGGTCCTGATATTTCTGTTCTACTCCATTAGCACATGGACAAATATTACAAATACCTGATCCAAAGCATCCACCCACAAATAAATACTTCCACCTAGGGCACGTTGCCAGGGCACACTAAGCTGGGAGCCTCAGCACCAGAGGAGAGACAGAACCACTTCCAAAAGCCAGCACAACCCACCTAAGATCCGGATTGCCCAACGGAGGTGCTTTTTTTTTTCCCTAACAAACTGTGAGGGCAGCCCCATTCAAAATTCTCTTGCCTAAGGCTTCTCAGGCCAGGTGGACGCAGGCTTTAGGCCTCATTTAAAATAATTATATTCAGTGAGCCCAATCATCAGTTGGTTAGAGTTGGCAGAGATCTCAAAAAGCAACACCAGTGCAATTTAGGAAATCAGTTCTTTTTTTTAAAAAAAAAAAAAAAAAAGAAACAAAAAAAATAGTGCCTTCCTGTATGGGAGAAACAGTGCTGAGTATTGGCTAGATTACTGTTATTACACACAGCAGTGTGGAGTCACCTGGCAGAAATAGAGCCATTATGCCTTTGTAAGGTCAAGTTAATGCTCCACCATTGAAAAAGATACAAAGGCCAAAGTGCAATTATTCTATCCCTCTGCCTCCCGAAAGGCTTTCTGCATAGGTGGGAATCTGCCGCATCAAGGCTTTCACTGCCGCCACTGCTCCAGCCTGTTCTCCATGCTGCCGGCGCAAAAGCTGCCTGAGCCCATTTCCCATCGGTCCAAGTTTCAGCGTTAGACTCATACAGGCCCCACACTGCACAGATTTTTGTTGAAAAAGGCAATAGTTTTCCCATCAAACCACTTTAAAAAAACGTTAATTCTTAACCAGGATCAATGTAAGCCTTAACAAGAAGTTTCAGCGTTTTTGCCAATGCAATGAAGGAATTAACTAGTTGTACGTGCTGCGAACACAGCGTAAAGACCAACGGCAAACCAGCTCTAACACAGAACTGCTTCTGATACGCAGATTAAACCACTTCATTATTTATCTGAAAAACGCAAGAATTAAGTGGTCCGACCAACAATCCTGCAACTAAAAAAGCGGTGAGAAAAGTGGGGCTGTGATAGGCCGTCAGAAGGAATGACTTTTACCACCAGACTGTGGAGTTAAGAAAACCGTTTCTCCTCAGGGCCATAAGCAGACTGCCACTGGACATGCTTTGGTTATCTCGGTTACCACACACACAAACACACAGGGAGAAAGACCAGCCCCACAGGATAAAGGGATTAAACCAAAAAGAGTAAACAACGCACTTCATCAAACATAGGAATATATTTAGGCTTACTGGACAAAAGAGAGACCCCCACAGTCGGCTCCTTTGAAAGACCAGGTTGCATCCTTCAGTCACAGAGCGCTCAGGAGACTAACCTGGGACGGACAACTGCCTTGGGAGAGTCACAGAACCACAGAATGCTTTGGGTGGGCAGGGCCCTTCAGAGCCCACCCAGCCC